TTTCTACTTCTATAAATTAGTGTAAATTTCTCTGTAGATATTTTATTCTTATACAAATGATTTATTTATGTGTAAATAGTTGTAATATACAATTATTGAACAAGAATCACAAAACAGAGAGGGGATGTTATAAGTTAACAAACAAACAAATTTATTTTCATCCTTTACGTTTGTAGTTATAATTATCTATAATACATTTCATGTATATTAAATTACAAAACTTGTATTCCTATTTAATTTTACATATAATTAAATAATATTTTCAAAAAGTATCATTTTTTTTATATTAGTTGTAATATTATTATATTAATATTAATAAGCTATATCTACAAATGTTTCCATTTTTATAACTTTTTTAAGTATGTAAATTTCATATAAAGTGAATTTCTACAAATAATATCAAAATTACTAAATGTAAAAAAATTATGTGAAATAGAAAATATAATGCGTAATTGCACACAAGATCACTTTGCCACCGACCGATCCTGTTTCCATTGATCAACCCAAAGGGAGATCAAAAAGATCATGGCTAAAAAAATAAGTCATTTGTTGAAGAACACACCTAGACCGAAGTTTTTAATCTCAACAAAACCAATTCTTTTAAATTACATTTTATACAAGAAGCTAGCTCCACCATTTCTCACTCTTTATTTCCATTCTTAAAAACACCTAACTTAATAAAAAAAAATTTAAAAAATTAACTCTGCTAATCATAATTCTTCAGTTTCTTAACCTTCAATAGCAGAATATTCCTTTTTTTTCTCCCAATAGCAGTTTTTCAACTTCGTTGATCAATCTATCTCTATTTCTATCTAACAACTAATCTGTCTCTAATATTCCTAACAATGATTTTATTGAATCCCTGCCTGAGCAAATCACCAGCGCTCTTCTTCAGTCTTCCGACCCCCAAAAAAATTAAACTGCTTTGAAATCTCTAATTGGATCTTCTTTACTTAAATTCTTATCTTCTGCCTCTGATGACGAAGAGACCTACTAATCGTTTGTCTTTATCACCTTAATTTCCTACTAACTCAACTGATTCCTAGACAATTATATAATACGAGTAGAATGTCGGAATTATCCGATCTTGCTTATTGGAACTCACTTCGCTTTTACATTCTGAAGTGTGTTCTATCACCCTTCTTGCTGAAACGTGCCTTGGGTAGCAATTTTCTTTATCAACTTGTAATCTTATTCGATTCAATCGAGTCGATGGTTACGGTGGCTTTACGATGGCCGCTCACTGTTCTATATAATATTAATTAACCAAATTGTTAATGTAAAATGTTTACGCGGATAAATTTGGCTCAAAAAGGCTGTCGGAAGTAACATACCTTTTTTATTTTAGCATAAAGGGCTATACCCAAAACGAATTCATTGTTTTTTGCGCAAATAGGTGACTCCCTAGACCGATCTTTTGAGGGTTTAATCTATTTAATTTTTCATTAGGTTATTGTTGGATTAGGCCTGTATTATTTGATTGTGTAATCTGTGCACGTATCGAAAAACCGTAATTTAGTGGTTTTTACATGTAAGTAGTTTACATAATTACAATCTATTTTTGACATAACACATAATCGAATGATGCATATCATTACACAATATTTGACTGATGTGTTATACTCGTAATCTAATTTTTTGTACAAGTTTCATAGCAATGATAAACCATCGTATTCAAAATTAAGTTTATGCTAGGGTTAAAAAAATATAAATCAATACATTACATATTAAATATATCATAATTCCAACATTAACGAGTCACTGAGAAAAAAAAATTACAATATTATATAAAAATAGGAAATTAGGTTCTATTCAGGAATTATTATGACAATGTTATTTATTAAAATTAATTAAGTAATAACTATTGGTAATAGGTCGTAAAAAATGCTGTAAAATATTTCATCTTAAAAATCGAATTTTTAATCATAAATAATTATACCAGTATATTTTTTATCACGTTATTCAATGAATCTCGAAATTATTTTACAATAAGGAATTAAAAATTAATCGATTTTCCATTCTTATAAAAATAAAAGAGGCGTGATAATTGTTTTTGTCCAATTTAGAAACTAATGTTAAAAAATATTTTCGCCAAAAATAATTTTTATTAAAATGTTCACATGTTCATTCAGTGATCGTTTTAATAATACTTTAAAGTGTCCATACAATGAAGCTATCATATAGCATTAATGTAGATATCATCATAAAAATAAGTAATTAATAACATAGAACCCAATAACTGATTGAAGTGTCATCGTACTAGAAGAAATAATTGTTTTCACATTATGCTCATTAAATTTGTCACTTTGAAATGGTCAATAAAAGTAGAACACATGAGAGCAAAGAGTACGTATTTTTTGTGTAATAAATTATTACTAATATGTAAATAAATAAACTAATAGTGTTTATATATAAAATTAAATAAATAAATGCTTAATCTGGAATATTATTACATTTGTGTAAAGTATAACCGGTTTTAAATTAAAAATTATTAAATGTATTTTAGAAATAAAACTCCATCGTGATTTTATTCACTTAATATATAGTTGAAAATAAAATTTTAATTCCAAATCAGTTATACTGTACAAATATAATAATACTCTAGGCTAAGCATTTATTTATTTTTATTTATATACTAATTTATGACTATTAACCATTTAATAACTTTTAATTTTAATTACATTTTTTATTATTTATTAAAGATTATTAATTACTCATGAATTCAAGCACACGAATATAATTTTGTACGATTTAAATTAATTTCTCTTTAATTAATAGGCAACAGTGAAAAAGGTTCGTTCATCAATGTGAAAAGTCACATTGATGAAACGAGTCTTCGCGAACTGAGAACATTTAATAGGGGCAATCTTATTGGTTCGGACGGGTAATCGGACATATCGGCATGGCCATTTCGACGTATGTCAAATTTTTTTAAACCTATATTCTAATTTTTATTATACACGTGATTTATAGTATATAATAGCATTATAATTCTAAGTATTCCATATAAAAGATCCCAAACTAGTTTTACTCATGACATATTAAACTAGGTATTATGTCAATAGTTGTATTTAAGTCTTATGTTGCGCAAATATGGTACTGATCTTTCGCAACTTCTCATTGTTTCACATATTATCATGAATTCAAAGTTTGAAGTTCAAATTCTTTTGGTGGTAACCGAAAGATTTTTTAATAAAAATATTTCAATATTTATTTATATATATCATTAAATTATCAGTAATCCACTTCAAAATTAACCCAATAAAAACTTTGAGGAACTGTGCAACATAAATTGTATTTTTAAATATATACTTAAAAATCATATACTAATTCAGCTAGTTTAGTAATAATGACGATCAAATTTTTAAGATTATCAACATTCCTTGATGGACCCTCTATAGTTATAGACTCGTGCTCATTGCCCATGATGCCACTCTATAGGTACGCCACTGACTGATGGTGCTTTTAAAATCACTCCAATACTCCATTACTTTAAAATTTACATTTTACTAAAAATGTATTTTGACGGAATTTACCAATTATAATACGTACTTCTACCGAACAAAAGAAGCTAATTGTATGAATGACTATTAAAAATAATTGTAGACAAAAAAGTATAATCGTAAATAAAAGAGCAAAATCTTATTAATTATTATAACTATCGTGGATCATTAGTTTATTTTATTTTATTATAATTTAATTTAATTTTTATTTAATTTTTGTTTAGTTATATTAGGTTAAGTAAATGTACAGTTTTGTAAAATGCACACAAATATCCAAGAAATATTGTTATACTTTTATTATAGATTACGCTAAAATGGGTTCACGCCGAAATGATAACGCTCAGACTGCCATACCGAAATAGTTATGCCGAAATGTCCTAGACAGGTTCGAACGCATTAATAATAGACAAGTGTATAGTAGTGTATAGAGATTTAACTGCCATTAAATAAACGAATTTGAATTAATTTCTCCCGGAATCGGCGTTAAAAATCATTCTAATTCTAATCCATCAATATCAATCGACTGTAACACCATTTTAGTGCCCCAGCTTTATTGCTATATCACGATAATTTAGAAATTATTGAATTCGATATAATATTATACTAGAGAATATTTTATTATTATACTTCGAATTACATTATTAAACATAAATATAAATAAATATCTGTGAAATGAAATAACATTACTAATGAAAAAATGTTACTAAACAAAAAAAGTCTACTCAGAATCTATGAATTTTGGTGATTTTTATTATTAATTTTAGTTGGATTCAACTTTTATCGTAAATAATATAAATTAATAAGTTTACAAGTAGAATAAAATCTTGAATAATAATGAGATAAACGAAAAGCGCATAATTTAGAGTCTAGTTTTCTATCATATCAACCATACTAGAAGAGTAAGTATTATTAAAACAGCCTCGAAATTAAGGTAGAGCAACGCTCATCTTACAACATCGACTTCAAGAGTAATCGCGTTAGCTAGATATCTCGTGATTCTTATCGCACCTATTGTCTTAGTGTTGTTAAATTTGTTTTTAATCGAGTGTCAAAAGTGTTATAGGTAGGCGTACCTACTATATGCGTGTAAAAAAAAAAAAAAGTAATAAAGATATTAATACCTACCTTTGCTATGCTTTGTATGTAGTGGAATGGAAGATATGAAGTAATGTGGGATGGAGGTCTACATATAAAATTCACTTCATCGAATAATTTTAATATTTTCGTAGTAACGCCGCCGCAAACTTGGAATAAAATATCGTAGATATAGCTGGTATACCGAAGACAGGATTAGCGAGAGTAAGCGGTAACAATTAAGATGGTAATAATAGTTTTCAGGTTTAAAATGCCATCACGAGGATACCTAAACCGTGATCGCGGTGGATGATCAGCGATGAAACGGACTTTGGAAAAGTTCGGTAGGTGGCGCTGCCGGTTGCGCGCGAATCGCGTATGATATCTCTGTGACGAGGCAGGCCGAACGGGGAAAAGCTCACCGCCACCAAGGTTCATTTCGTACCCCGTCGTCGATCGCGCGCGCTCGCTGTTTCGCTCGTCTGTCGTTCCGTCTTCGTTTGCGTTCATCATCCACGTCGCCCGATCGTCTTTAAAACGAACCGCTGAGTACGGAAAATTGTTAAAAATAGCCAAATCAATTTGTGAATAGAAAAAACGTGTCACGCATTCGTGTGCGTATTAGTTGGTTTGTGTGCGTACGTACGTACGTACGCGTGTGTGTGTGTGTGTGTGTGCGTGTGTGTGTGTGTCCTGGTGCGCGTGTTCGTGTGTGTGTGTGTGTCGCATTTTGTGCGGTTTTTTGTGATATTCTGTATTTACCAAGATATATAAATCGTATAGGTACGCTATAAAATAAATTGGATTTTCATCGTCTGCACGTTATGACTGCAGTAGGACATTACGCCGGTGCCACCGGAATTTACTACTAAACGGTTAGTATAATGATACATCATATTATTATATAGCCACTAAATTTACACTATGGTAAACTGTATCATCGGTGCAGCGTCCGTCTCATTTAGGTTTGGGCGTAATTTTTTCGGTGGATTTTCGCTCTTTTTAATTTTTTTCTCACCAAAGGGTTAAAATAAAAAAAATATATGGTGAAAAAAAATCTCCCCCTGATGATTATGCGTTTTTCAAGAAATCAGGTTTGATGTTGTCTTGTTATCCGTGAAGAACTTTTCGACGCACTGGAGAGTGTGCATTTGAGGTTTGAAAGTGTCGGACCATTAGTTTCGGACGACGTTTGTCGATTTTACAAATCTCTCAAACCCGATATAAACTATTGCCATACACCTCTTTTTTCTCTTTTTTTTTCTTTTTCTAACCGTAGTTAATGACATAAACACACATACAATATACACGTTTTACGCGTACCAATGCAGCTTTATATGATAATGTTTGTGTGTGTGCACACGCGGGTATTCACAACGAAAAAACGCAATCTATATAAAAGTTTATATGCGTATAAAAATTTATCAATGATATTTTTTTTGTTCTGTGAGTTTACTCACACGAACAATTCATCTGTTTAGAAAAACTTTGTCACACGGTCTCTAGTTGATAAAACTGCTCACCCCACCTATTTTCTTCTATGTATAATGTATTTTAACGGCAATGAATGTCGGTGCAAAGTAATGTTGGCCGGTCGCTATTTTAAAGATCTCATCAAATGTGAGTCAACCATAATCTCTAGCATGATCATCACTGGTGAAGAAGGGAGAATAAAGATAACACCGTGCATGAATAATTCTAAGATGAAAGTTAATTAATTAATTAGAAAACAGTGAATGATGAATGTTGTCGATGAAAATATATTCATAAAATCAAGCTTTGTGTTTGAAACAAAGCAATTTAAATAATAAATGTTTGGATAAGCTATTTTTCACGTCGAGTTTAATCTAAATAAATGATCTCAACATTATAAAATTGAAATAGTGGTTTTAGAATAAACCGTGTTAAAAATGCACTCGTTACGATTGTAAAAAGTTGATACACACGCGTTACATATAATATTTTTCAATTTATCTCAAATTTAAAAAATGAAATCCTGCTGATCAACTATTATAAATGTAGGTATAGGTTTTGTTAAAAAGTAAAAATATACAATAGGAAATATTTAATTTTTTTTTTATATATTCTCTAAAACACATTTTTTTTTCATTTTATTATTGTAAAATAAACAGTTATTTATATGGGTTTGAAGTTATAATAATAAGTAATCTTTGATTTAAGTATTTTATTCAAAAACCAAAAAGCTTAAAATAATAATAGTGAGATTAGATTAAAGTTTGTGTATATACCTACATTGATCAAAAACCATATTCTATTTGCTTATTTTTGAGACTACTCATTTGAAATATATGTATTTAATAATTTGGAAGAAATCAATTTCTCTAAATGTTATTGAAAAATTTGAATTAATTAGGTAGCTATTTAAACAGATTAGAATACTCAATATTTTATTTTTTTGAACTATTTTAGATCATCCATTTATTTTAATTTTTTTTTTTTTTTGTTATTGTTTCTGTAATTATATTCAGTGGCGCCGAACTCGTATAGCAAGTGAGGTAAAATTAAAATTCACATATGCAATCGAGTGAATTTGTGAAATTAACTTCACATGAGTTCATGCATTTTGTTATTAAATCATGCGTTTATTATTAAATTTTAAATTTTGTTGTTATTGTATGATAAAATATTCTATATTATAATGTAATTACTACATTTTAAATACTAGCAGTTTACAGGTATACACTACCTTCTGTTTAATTATGATTTTTTTGGTAGGGAGTGGGTACTCATAAGCAGGGTTTACCCCAATGATAAAAAATTAGTGATTACTGAGCGACTTTTGAAATTTGAAAATGTTTTATTGTAATACAAGTACAGTGAATATCTTAAACTTTTTTTATTTTATCGACATTTCATATATTTATTTAATTATTGTATAAACTAATAATTATAAGAATGAATATATCATTTTAAAACTAAAAAATAAATTTAATTTATTTTTTATTCTTTTGAACACCTTTTTGCATTAGAAAAGTTATTATGAAGACAGAATAATGATTATTACGACTGACTACAAATAACAAAAATTAATTAATTTAAATTTTATTTAACTTGAATTTTTTTTTATTTATTATAGCTACTAAACTATTTATTTATCATCACAAAGACGTACTAAGTATTTGAAAATTATGATGTCTTTATTATATTATGCATTTTGATAGATGAATTAGTGAGAAATTGATTAAAATATATTGATTAATGTGACTTTTATTGATTCGAGTGTCACGAAAAGTAAGATTAATTAAAAGAATAATTTTTACTATCTATACATATTACTTGGTTGTATAATAATCAAATACATTTTTAAATTATAATATTCTCATTTAACTGTTATCCTACATTTTCTAAAAGCAATCAATAAATTCAATACCTCCTTTAATACATAGTTTTTTTCGCAAACTAATGTTTTGTAGTTAATCATGAAAATTTTTAAATAAATTTATGGCACACATGTTTATTTTTCCCTTATATTTTCATAAGACTCATATTATGGTAGTCAAAAGACATTCAATTATTCTATTTATGTTTGCAATAAAATGTTGTTAACCAACTGTCATGCGTTTCGTATTATTCGATCAATTTCCGCACAATGACCGGTACCATGAATAATAGTGCAACCCCACCATCATTAGTGTATAATAATAATTATAGGAATTACACCATGAGCGCTGAAGGGTACTTTAAAATAAGAGGGGGATTTTGTATTCAGAAATCATAATACAACGTATTTGCGTTATAATATATTATGTATATTTTTAAGGCGGTCTGACAAAATTTGTTTGGGCATATCCAAAATCATATATATATATTCTTTTATTTAAAAAAAATTCTATGGACTTGGGACCCTTTTTCTTGTATTTGCGTATTTGTATTATGTAAACATCACATTTTGTACAGGGTGTACACGGAAATTAAATTTCTGGTTAAAAATATTTTTGATAAAGAAATTAAATACTCTGAGTTTCTTGGTTTAACTCTAGAGTCACGTTTTGCTATTTTTTATACGAAAAAGACTGTTTTATTTTTATTATTATTATTTTTGTGTTAAAGAAAAATCAATTGTTCAATCAAATATTAATATTAAAATTGTACTATGCAAATAAACTAAATATAATATGGTACGTTATTAAGGAACTCAGTTCGTCTGTACTTGGCGTATATAAAAATAAGTATTTATGCCGATTTATATAGTTTATACAATAACTTAATGATTAAAATTGATTGACAACCTGTGCATTTTTTAAGGTATTTTACCTCTATACTAATATTTTTATACGAATTACATCTTGCGGTATTATAGAAAATATAATTGGTTATATATTCATATACAATAAAAATAATAAAGTGTATAAGGTAAAATAATAGTACCTTGTTAATATAATAAATACATTAAAAAAATATTTTTCTTTTTCTTTTTATTATTATATATCGGATATCAATTAAACAATGTACTAATAATCGACAGCAAGAAAATATTGTCGACAATGTTTCAAAATATCATAATATTTTTATTTCAGGTGAATAAGTTCAACTATTATTTATTTATGATTTTCTCAATTTCTCTGCGTGCATTTCGATTTTAATCAATGTTACCTAATCTTGTGAAATTAAAAAATAGAATTAATTTTACCAGTGTACCAATCTGTGTCTCGTGTAATCTATATATATTGTAAAACAAGCGGGTATTCAACACGTTTTACTTTATGATCAAACACAAAAAGGTGTGTTTTTGTTTAAAATAAATTATACTTTTAATAAATATAATTAATTATTTAATTTTTAATTTTTTTTTTTTTAATCGTTTAGGTCGATTGTTACTGCTATTAAATCATAACAATTACATTTTAAAGCTGAAAAATAAATGTACTTAATATATTTATCTATACTAATATTATATAGAAGTAAAGTTTGTGAGATTGTTTAGAAGAAGTTATCTCGAGAACCAGTGATGGGACTTCTCTAGATAAATTTTTGTCATCTTTATCTTATCAAGATAAATAATGGTTTAGTTATTTAATTACTAATCTAAAATAAAATTTTTACTTATCTAGATAATTGTCTGTATTCTTGCCAAGATTAAAGTTATTTTTATTCTTGTATGGAGATGAATCCAATAAATCAGAGATCATCAAAATCGGTCCAGCCGTTCTTAAATTTTAAATTCTGTAAATAACTTGACTTTCTTTTATACATTTAGATTTCGTATTCATAATCATAATTCGTTTAATATTTTTTGTTATGTCATTTTGTTTGTATTTTCATGTCGGGAAAATATTTTTGGTATTTTTAAACTTAATTTCTTAATTTTCCATGGAGTTCCAAATATATTATGTATTTAATTTTAGTATACACACGTAACTCATACTCTAAATAGTCATTACTTCACTCTTGGAATCCATAAAGTCCTAACTAGTTATAAAATAATGAAATCATCAAATTAATATTATATGGAAAACAATATTGTTAACTTAAAATATTTTTTTATGTATTCTGTATTCATCCTGATACGTACAGAGCAATTTTTATTTATTATTATTTTTTTTTTTGTGTAACATTTTAGTGATTAACTGTCATTGAATATTGTACATTATTTATAAATACTGCTTAATGGTACACTACATTACTACAATAAACATGAAATACCTAGGTACCTATTGATAATAATGATTATAATTGAGTCTTCATAGATATTATTAGAATATGAAATATTGACCAAAAAATAACATTCTTTGAAAATATCTTTTTTTTATCTAGATAAAAATGAAATTATCTTTTATCTTTATCTAGATATTTTAATTTTTTTATCTTTTATCTTTATCTAGATGATTTTGGACATATTATCTTTTATATTTAT